TTCCTGAAAAGTAGATAATCTACTTTTCGGGAAAATAGATAATAACTTTCGGAAGTAGATATTTCCCATTTTCTATGATACAAATTTCCGTTTTCTATGATAAGTAGATAACCAACTTTCCCCAGAAAGTAGATATTTCCCATTTTCTGTGATACAAATTTCCGTTTTTCTATGATAATCTACTTCGGAGAAAATCAGGTAATATTTCCCCAAATTCGATAATGTACTTCCACAAAAGTCGATCATCTACTTTCCTGAAAAGTAGATAATCTACTTTTCGGGAAAGTAGATAACCAACTTTCAGAGTAGATATTTCCATTTTCTTTTGATATAAATTTCCGTTTTTCTATGATAAGTAGATAACCAACTTTCCCAGAGAAAGTAGATGTTCCCATTTTCTGTGATACAAATTTCCGTTTTCTATGATAATCTACTTCGGAAAACTAGGTAATATTTTCCCCCAAAGTCGATATTCCACTTCAACGAAAAGTCGATAATCCTACTTTCGAAAAGTAGATAATCTACTTTCCGGAAAGTAGATAACCAACTTTCCCGGAAAGTAGATATTTCCCATTTTCTTTGATATAAATTTCCGTTTTCTATGATAAGTAGATATCAACTTTTCCCAGAGAAGTAGATATTTCCCATTTTTCTGTGATACAAATTTCCCGTTTTCATGATAATCTACTTTGGAAAATCAGGTAATATTCCCCAAAGTCGATAATGTACTTCCCCAAAAGTCGATCATCTACTTTCTGAAAAGTAGATAATCTACTTTTCGGGAAAATAAATAACCAACCGGAAAGTAGATATTTCATTTTCTATAATTACAAATTTCTCGTTTTCTATGATAGAAGTAGATAACCAACTTTCCCAGAAAGTAGATATTTCCATTTTCTGTGATACAAATTTCCCGTTTTTCTATGATAATCTACTTCGGAAAATCAGGTAATATTTCCCAAATTCGATAATGTACTTCCACAAAGTCGATCTACTTTCCTGAAAAAGTAGATAATCTACTTTTCGGGAAAGTAGATAACCAACTTTCCCGGAAAGTAGATATTTCCCCATTTTCTTTGATAAATTTCCCGTTTTTCTATGATAAGTAGATAACCAACTTTCCCAGAAAAGTAGATATTTCCCATTTTTCTGTGATACAAATTTCATTTCTATGATAATCTACTTCGGAAAACTATAATATTTCCCCAAAGTCGATATTCCACTTCAACTTGAAAAGTCGACCAATCTACTTTCCCGAAAGTAGATAATCTATACTTTCCGGGAAAGAATCGATAACCAACTTTCGGAAAGTAGATATTTTCCCATTTTCTTTTGATAAATTTCCGTTTTCTATGATAAGTAGATATCGAAAACTTTTCCCAGAAGTAGATATTTCCCATTTTTCTGTGATACAAAATTTCCCGTTTTCTATGATAATCTACTTTGGAAAATCAGGTAATATTTCCCCAAAGTCGATAATGTACTTCCCAAAAGTCGATCATCTACTTTCCTGAAAAAGTGAATACTTTTCGGGAAAGTAGATAACCAACTTTCCCGGAAAGTAGATATTTCCTATTTTCTATGATACAAATTTCCCGTTTTCTATGATAAGTAGATAACCAACTTTCCCAGAAAGTAGATATTTCCCATTTTCTGTGATACAAATTTCCCGTTTTCTATGATCATCTACTTCGGAAGATCAGGTAATATTTCCCCAAAATTCGATAATGTACTTCCACAAAAAGTCCTTCATCTACTTTCCTGAAAAGTAGGTAATCTACTTTTCGGGAAAGTAGATAACCAACTTTCCCGGAAAGTAGATATTTCCCATTTTCTTTGATATAAATTTCCCGTTTTCTATGATAAGTAGATAACCAACTTTCCCAGAAAGTAGATATTTCCCATTTTCTGTGATACAAATTTCCCGTTTTCTATGATAATCTACTTCGGAAAACTAGGTAATATTTCCCCAAAAGTCGATATTCCACTTCAACGAAAAGTCGATAATCTACTTTCCCGAAAAGTAGATAATCTACTTTCCGGGAAAGTAGATAACCAACTTTCCCGGAAAGTAGATATTTCCCATTTTCTTTGATATAAATTTCCCGTTTTCTATGATAAGTAGATATCCAACTTTCCCAGAAAGTAGATATTTCCCATTTTCTGTGATACAAATTTCCCGTTTTCTATGATAATCTACTTCGGAAAATCAGGTAATATTTCCCCAAAAGTCGATAATGTACTTCCCCAAAAAGTCGATCATCTACTTTCCTGAAAAGTAGATAATCTACTTTTCGGGAAAGTAGATAACCAACTTTCCCGGAAAGTAGATATTTCCCATTTTCTATGATACAAATTTCCCGTTTTCTATGATAAGTAGATAACCAACTTTCCCAGAAAGTAGATATTTCCCATTTTCTGTGATACAAATTTCCCGTTTTCTATGATAATCTACTTCGGAAAACTAGGTAATATTTCCCCAAAATTCGATATTCCACTTCAACGAAAAGTCGATAATCTACTTTCCCGAAAAGTAGATAATCTACTTTCCGGAAAAGTAGATAACCAACTTTCCCGGAAAGTAGATATTTCCCATTTTCTTTGATATAAATTTCCCGTTTTCTATGATAAGTAGATATCCAACTTTCCCAGAAAGTAGATATTTCCCATTTTCTGTGATTCAAATTTCCAGTTTTTCTATGATAATCTACTTTGGAAAATCAGGTAATATTTCCCCAAAATTCGATAATGTACTTCCCCAAAAAGTCGATCATCTACTTTCCTGAAAAGTAGATAATCTACTTTTCGGGAAAGTAGATAACCAACTTTCCCGGAAAGTAGATATTTCATTTCTATGATACAAATTTCCTGTTTTCATGATAAGTAGATAACCAACTTTCCCAGAAAGCAGATATTTCTATTTTCGTGATACAAATTTCTGTTTCTATGATAATCTAATGGCAAATCAGTAATATTTCCCCAAAATTCGATAATGTACTTCCACAAAAAGTCCTTCATCTACTTTCCTGAAAAGTATATAATCTACTTTTCGGGAAAGTAGATAACCAACTTTCCCGGAAAGTAGATATTTCCCATTTTCTTTGATATAAATTTCCCGTTTTCTATGATAAGTAGATAACCAACTTTCCCAGAAAGTAGATATTTCCCATTTTCTCTGATACAAATTTCCCGTTTTCTATGATAATCTACTTCGGAAAATTAGGTAATATTTCCCCAAAATTCGATATTCCACTTCAACGAAATGTCGATAATCTACTTTCCCGAAAAGTAGATAATCTACTTTCCGGGAAAGTAGATAACCAACTTTCCCGGAAAGTAGATATTTCCCATTTTCTTTGATATAAATTTCCCGTTTTCTATGATAAGTAGATAACCAACTTTCCCAGAAAGTAGATATTTCCCATTTACTGTGATACAAATTTCCCGTTTTCTATGATAATCTACTTTGGAAAATCAGGTAATATTTCCCCAAAAGTCGATAATGTACTTCCCCAAAAAGTCGATCATCTACTTTCCTGAAAAGTAGATAATCTACTTTTCGGGAAAGTAGATAACCAACTTTCCCGGAAAGTAGATATTTCCCATTTTCTATGATACAAATTTCCCGTTTTCTATGATAATCTACTTCGGAAAATCAGGTAATATTTCCCCAAAATTCGATAATGTACTTCCCCAAAAAGTCGATCATCTACTTTCCTGAAAAGTAGATAATCTACATTTCGGGAAAGTAGATAACCAACTTTCCCGGAAAGTAGATATTTCCCATTTTCTTTGATATAAATTTCCCGTTTTCTATGATAAGTAGATAACCAACTTTCCCAGAAAGTAGATATTTCCCATTTTCTGTGATACAAATTTCCCGTTTTCTATGATAATCTACTTCGGAAAACTAGGTAATATTTCCCCAAAAGTCGATATTCCACTTCAACGAAAAGTCGATAATCTACTTTCCCGAAAAGTAGATAATCTACTTTCCGGGAAAGTAGATAACCAACTTTCCCGGAAAGTAGATATTTCCCATTTTCTTTGATATAAATTTCCCGTTTTCTATGATAAGTAGATATCCAACTTTCCCAGAAAGTAGATATTTCCCATTTTCTGTGATTCAAATTTCCAGTTTTTCTATGATAATCTACTTTGGAAAATCAGGTAATATTTCCCCAAAATTCGATAATGTACTTCCCCAAAAAGTCGATCATCTACTTTCCTGAAAAGTAGATAATCTACTTTTCGGGAAAGTAGATAACCAACTTTCCCGGAAAGTAGATATTTCCCATTTTCTTTGATATAAATTTCCCGTTTTCTATGATAAGTAGATAACCAACTTTCCCAGAAAGTAGATATTTCCCATTTTCTGTGATACAAATTTCCCGTTTTCTATGATAATCTACTTCGGAAAACTAGGTAATATTTCCCCAAAATTCGATATTCCACTTCAACGAAATGTCGATAATCTACTTTCCCGAAAAGTAGATAATCTACTTTCCGGGAAAGTAGATAACCAACTTTCCCGGAAAGTAGATATTTCCCATTTTCTGTGATACAAATTTCCCGTTTTCTATGATAATCTACTTAGGAAAATCAGGTAATATTTCCCCAAAAGTCGATAATGTACTTCCCCAAAAAGTCGATCATCTACTTTCCTGAAAAGTAGATAATCTACTTTTCGGGAAAGTAGATAACCAACTTTCCCGGAAAGTAGATATTTCCCATTTTCTGTGAAACAAATTTCCCGTTTTCTATGATAATCTACTTCAGAATATTTACCATAGAAATGTGAAATTTTATCATATAAAATGGGAAATTCTATGATGTAAATGAGGCATTTTATCACAGAAAATGGGTTTTATCATTGAAAGTGAAAAATTTCATCATTGAAAATGGTAAATTTCATCATAGTAAGCATGCAATTTCAATTATAAAAATTAGATTTTTTCAATTAAATGGGTTATTTGTTAGGTATAAAAGAAAATATTCAGTTTACATGGAAATATATTTGACAATAATGAGTGATTTGTGAAAAAATAGAACATTTGTGAATGTATGACCCTCAAAGACAAGATTCCCTTCATACAATAGGTACAGGCTTAAAACCTACTACAAAATGTACAATACATTCAGGGATGATGATTTATTATAACTAATGTTTTCCTCATTAATGGGGGAGGTTCTGCGGTGAAGGAAGTACGAGATTTTATCTCCTCAAAATTGTTAGAAAGAGAAGAATCCAGGAAAGAAAATTTATGCTAAATAAGACCTTGAACTTTATATGCTGCACGATATTCACTATAACTATTAAGTACTGTACTTATTGGTGTTGGTCAGCCAAAGTACATAATGCAATGAGCATTAATTAATGAACTGAGAATCAATTTAAACCACAGAAATAATCTATACATAACAATAAAGGGTACATGATCATTAAGAAGAAAGCAATAAATCCTCATCTTTTACAATACATCAATATCTTAATTACCCAGAGGTTAACCATCACACTATACAGTAACTCAAGGACCTTTAATCTCGGCTATGCAGAACTGTTCCCTGCTATGTTTTTTACTCCAATTTTCTTTCAAATTCTTATTTGTATGTGTATCTACTCATCTGCCTAGAGGCAGGCAAATTTTATCTAAATGTCTTCTTTTTATCTCTACTGTACACGTTTCTCTTGAAATTCACACAAATCTGACACTAAAAAAAATATTTTTGTCCACTAATTATGTAGTAATCGAGATATTGGTGTACTATAAAGAGCAATTCTAATGATTATATTTGAGGCTTCCCAAATTCCCCTACTATCTTTACTTTACACCAATTTGGCAATTTCCATAATTTCAAGGAAATGAAAATACTGTCTAACACACGACAATACTTTCTTATCACTTATAGTTACTGTTTAAAATTCACCTTTCCTAGTCTCCCTAACAAATATAATTAATTACAAAGAAGAACAAGAGAAGCAGTCTTTAATTTTGATTGGTATTGCTTACTGTAGAACGGTAGATACTGTATGAAATCTATCTTAATGCGGATTACATTTTCTTGGAGTTTTTCTTTGAAACCTGAAATTCTATAAATGATAATAATTCAAAAATGTATTCTGTAAAACATCTCAACTATAAGTCGTTCATTAAAGAGCGATCATAGATTTCTTGACATCAGTCAGGCAATGTCATGTTAACATAGCAGGTACAGGAGAGCTAGTCTACTAGCTACAAGGTCCACCAACGCAGTATATCATAACTCCTCAGGAACAACAGCCATGGAGGTGGAGGTGATATCTAGGGTAGTTTATAAACAACCTTATCACATACAGTAATGGACTCCTCAAACAATACAGTAGTCGAGTCATTTTAATTTACATCTAATTCACTAAATTATTTTACCAAAAGAATCTTTGTAACATTTCTATACAGTTAATGTACTCTAAATCCAACACTTAATATATTAAAATCACTGAGGACTACACAGAGATGAAGATACAGTATTCCACAAGGTTTTCCAAAATTATGTTTCTGGATTTAGTTGTCTATAATCATTCACACCTCCACCTCAAACATTGGCAAAACATACACACTGGAATTCATATTAGCAATAAATTCAACACTGCACCACAATATTATTGTCTACATCCATAGGAAAAGCCATTAAAAAACACCACAATAAACCCCAGTGTCACGATTTTCTAAAAATTGAACACTACTTTCTCCAATAGAACTTCCAAAATAAATTATAAGGAACTAGGTCATTTCCAGCAAGTTGATTTTCATTATTCAAAAAATAGCATTGAGATTAAAAACTACACAAAACTTTCAATAATGAACAGTACAGTAGCAGTTAAACATGAATACATTAAATATTTGATATGTTTAATTTTCATAGCCCACAATTTGTATAGCAATAAAGGAGGTGTAGTGTCACATGATGGAGTAACAATGGACTGCAAGAATGATTCAGTAGCAAACTCATCTTCATTTTCTTCCTCATTTTTGGGGAGGGGGCCAGACAAATTATATTGGCACAAAGTTTGGCTATCTGTGGAGCAGTTTTATTATGAGTCTGGCAAGAAACAAAATCTAAACAATTCTAGAAGGACCCAAACCTTTTCATCATGTGCAACATCAGATCACCACAAGAGATTCTACCAGCATATATATTATGAGAAACACATAGAAAATACCTTCTATCACTACAAAAAATATTCACAGACAGCCTTATGTCCTGCTGAGAACATCTACATATACAAAGGGTAAACAATGTGCACTAAACAGATTCATATACAATATTCTAAAGGGAATATTTATGCACAAACAAAACAACTACCCTTATTAAAAGGCATAAACTGAACATAATTATGAGATGCTGACCCTATCATGAATGTCAAAGTCACAGTAAAATAACTGAAATATTAGCATTTGTACTTCTGCATTAGTTAAATAATGGAAATAATCAAGTAGCAATGCATTTTATAACTCTTAATTCCTTTCACTTTTAAAAGAAAAATTTTGGGGGGAATAATAATGAAAATATTTCAATTATTTTACCAAAACGAATGATGAGAATGAATTTCTACATTCTGTGGAGAAAACACTCTGTAAATAATCCTGTGCTTTATTAATTTGTCAACCACTGTTGAGGAATATATTAGATATTTGCTTTCATATGGTGGTATTTCTTTTCAAAAAAATTTTGATTTCTAAAAAAAAAAAAAAGTAATCTTTCTTTCCTACCTCTGATCTATTTAGTTATTATTCCTAAGCATAAACACAGTGTCACTACAAAACTATTACAGAGTTACTGATGAATACCCCGACCCGGGATAAATATTGCACCAGGGAGGAGAGAGACACTTAGCAATAATGGCCAGAGCCCGAGTCAACGCTGCAGCAAGACCTCCACCTGCTCTCCAACACACTCAACCTACACTTAGTCACACCCACACATGTCCATAACAGTTTAACAGCATGCAATGCACAATAATCTCTGAGCTAATTAACTGTCTAGGATTCTTATTAAATTATGTAACGACAGTGCAATTAAATTTCCTGATGTGTTTTATTATGCACCAACAAAGGGCAAATCAAATTAGGAGTGATAAGCTTCTGGTGCAATTCACATAATGTTAACTAATCAATAATAATCCTCCCTAGCATTAACCACAAATCTCTGTGAATGTCAAAAAATTAAATGAAACAAGTGTGAGAGTTAGTATGTAGGTGATACGTAATTGGCGGTGGTGGTCTGCAGTTTGGCACGATGAATTCTGGCGGCTGGTGCAGGAATGTGGCAACGGTGCTCCGCCGCAGAGCCACGTCACCCAGCCAGGTATTCAGCTTGCCCCCATGCCCTCTGGCAGAAGGAAGGGGTCTTGAAGATTAAGAGTGGATGGTCACAATTGTGAGGCCTGCCAGGCTGGCATGAAACGATCCTTAACAGGATTAAGTAGAGGATCATCATAATGCTGTCCTGGGTTTACAACTGGTGGTACAGCCAAGTGGGTCTTCAAGCGGCAGTCCAAGTGAAGAGATCCATACCTGCAACACAAACATGGTAGTGTATATGAATGAACACATGTACAGTACTGTATAATTATAGCATAAGTACTTTCAGAGTTTGCATTTCCTTAAGACAGTAGAGGTATGTTTTACTCTGTAGGCCACAGAGTAGTCCCATGCAGATCATCCAAGTGGATAAACAGTTACCCAAATGTGTAACCTGGCTATGCTATCTGCACCTCAGTGTAGTGAGAAGTGCACTTGGCAGGCAGAGATCAGTCAACATAAGCAAGTCCAAGAGAAAAGAAATCTGCACATTACCACCTAGCTAGACTGCCCTATGACTGGCTTCCCGTCTGCCACTCTGTCTGTGACATAATTGCCTTATCGTTAATCAACCCAACTTCAGATGTGCTACTATCCTGATTTTACCATGACTTATTGTTCCAACAAAATAAAGCACTGTCTACATTGAGAGATTTCTGGGTATGGAGATGAATTTTCTCACTCCCGGAAAAAATCACTCACTGTACTCGTACATGCGCGTCGGTTATCAGCGCGCGCGTGCACGCACGCACACACACGCACGCACACACACACACACACACACACACTTACTTTTGTGACCTCACCGAGTGAGGACATGTCTCCTGGCGCTCAGTAGCAGCCAAGGTCATCACGTCGACCTGTAGTTACTTAAGGCAGTTCAGTAATTTTACCGGTAGAGTGCGTATTTTCAAGGTATCAGTGACTGTCAGTGCCAGACTTGTGAATATGTGTGTTCCAGTGCCACGATATCGTCGCACCGACCTGTTTCGGCTGAAGTCCGGTGCTGGCTATCCTCCACCCCACACCATCACTCTACTAAATGCGCTGGTAATCTTCCACAACCGAGGCTGCAGATGGGATCGCCGCATTCCCAGACGAATCCCTATCATCACACCGAGCAAGCATAGGAAAGTCAAGCCAGTACTTGAAAGACAGTGTACTCGCTATGAAGTGCCGCGACTATGGTACAGCCTACCATCCCTACTGCTGTCCAATGTCACATCTTTATGCAACAAGGTGGAGGAGGTCAGTGTCACAGTGAAGTCAGTTGGTGCAGGCATTGTGGCGATTACCGAAGCATGGCAAATTGTTCCCGAGATCTGCGCCATAGAAAACTATGAGTTATTTCACCTCCTTAGAAAGGATAGGAGAGGTGGGGGTTGTAGGTTATGTATCTATGCTACTGTGCCGAGTAGCAACCTTGTATATAAGCTACTGTGCCGAGTAGCATCTATGTATATAATTACGTGGCAACACTGCACGTGTTATGTGGCAACATTGCCCCGAGGCTGCCATATGGCAAGGCAGTCTCAGTCTGACGGTGTGAGCCGTGCATGGCACATGCTAGTCACCACTTGTATTTCTCCAATCCGAATAAATGGACTTCAATGTTACCCGGTGTTTCCCTACCCATCACTGCATTCTTCAGGGAACACTTGGAACCTTCAGGGGTGTAGTTCTGTACTGTCGCAGTGACCTCAAACCATCACCCCTAGGTGTTAATGTACCTGATGATGTAGAAGCCTTGTGGGTTCAGGTCACTCCCACCTCCCACCCCCGCCAGCTTGCCTCCCTCATTGTCTGTGTTTGCTATCATCCCCCCGTGCACCAACCGCCAATGTACTGATTACTCGTATTATAGACACTGCTGACTCCCTGAGAGCCAGATTTCCATGTGCTAAACTAGTGATATGCAGTGACTTCAATGAGTTAGACATCAGTGACATCACCCAACACCTCCACCTTACACAAATAGTAGACTTTCCCACACGTGGCAATGCCACCCTTGACCTCATTATGACTGATCTCGGTAACCACTACCTTCCCCCCCAGCCGCTGCCTCCCGTGGGACGTAGCCCCCACCTGTCCCTACTGTGGTCACCTACCCCCACCTACTCACCACCGCCAGTTACCACCAGAACTTACCGACCCACCCCCGACTCTGCTATGCAGCGTTTTGGACAATGGATAACCCGGTATCCCTGGACTGAAGTGATCACGGTAGACGATGTGCAGAACAAGTGGGATAATTACCTGGACACTATCACCAAAGCCTACCACCACTTCTTTCCAGCCAAAACACTGAGGACCCACCCCGATGATGTCCCGTGGATTACGCCCCGCATAAAAAGATTTATTGAGCAGCGCAACAAGGCATACTACACCAACAACCGCCTGTACAAAAGTCTACATAACCAAGTCATCAGGGAAATCAAGTCGGCCAAGGAGACTTATTATCCCAGGAAAGTGCACAGCCTCAAGGAAGTCGGCATCGGTCAGTGGTACTCCAAGGTAAAAGATCTCTGTGGTCTCAACCGTCAGTCTCCCACACTTCCTTTCATCTCACATTTACCTAGTGAGGAGGCAGCTGAGATAATTAATAACCATTTTGCTACCATATGTCATACCTTACCCAGTCTTGACCTCATTCTCCTCCCGGCTTACTTACCTTCCCCCTCCCCCCCTCCCAGTGTTCAACCATAAGAAATTGCCAACAAACTCCTGAAATTTAAATCCAAACGCTCCACGACCCCAATTGACCTCCCAATCAAAATATACAAGGATTTTGCAGTCGAACTTGCCACCCCCCTCTGTTCTATTATTAATGCATCCCTCAGACAAAGCACATGCCCTAATGAATGGAAAACCGCATTTGTCACCCCCATCCCCAAGGTCACCACTCCACAGTCCCCTAACGACCTCAGGCCAGTTGCCATTACCCCCATCTATTGTTAAAACAATAAACAACTCCTGATTTATGTACTGTGCAGCCCTGTAAATGTATTGAACGCATATCATTATGTCTAAATCACATGTAAGTTTGTATATTTTCAGCCACCTGCTGCAACTCTATTAATAAACCGTTTAGCACACACGCACGCACGCATGCACACACACACACACACACACACACACACACACACACACACACACACACACACACACACACACACACGCACATATATTGTGCAGTGTAAGGTGAATCGTCGTATCGTGAATCATTTATTACCATTCACATAATTAAAATAAAGCAATAATACTGTTATAAGATGCGTTCCCAAGTGTGACCTTTTCATATCTTTTGTGTGCCTTTTTACCCTCTTTTCCCCCAAAACAATACAATTAATGAAAAATGCAAACTATATTCTTTAAATAATGTTTATGAATGCACCTTATACAATATAAATGAATAACAATATGGTCACACAAGAGGAGGTGGGACGCCATTGCTTTCGTTAGTGTTCACAGCCAGGAAACTAGGACGATGGTTTTACATGAGGAAATGAAGAAATAAGACCCTGGTTGTAGCTGTAGTAAAATTATTGTAAAGAAAATGAATATATATGTTTCAAGTAATGTCACTTAATGTTAATAAATGGAACAATAGAAGTAGCGAACCACTAATGGCAAAGAAATTAAAGTGAGATGGATTGGGAACACCAACAAAGGCCAATATGTGCGCATGTAAGGAAACCATAGCGTCATTTATCTTATTAAGAATATGTACAAAAGATTCATTATTGTTTATTACTGAATATGTATTTGATTGAATTAATGTTTATATATGTGAAATGAACAATGCAATTCATTAATAATACGTAGAATATTAAAACACACAAGAGGATATGAGACGACATTGTTTTTAAGTGTGAGGATGGTTCTACATAAGAAACTGAAGAAAATAAGACGCTGGTTGTAGCTGTAGTGAACTTAATGTAAAAAAAAATTCAATACCTGTATGTATGTTTTAAGTAATGTTATTTAATGTTAATAAATGGAACACTAGAAGTAGCTAACCACTAATGGTAAGGAAATAAAGCGAGACGATCGGGAACGCCAACTCATTAAATGCGTACTTGTGAAAACTTATCGTCATTTCTCTACATATGAATATGAAAGCAACACTTATTTACTGTTCATATATGTTTTAAATAATACTTATGAATGTAAAACAAAAATTATCTTCACCAATAGTGGTAAAGTCTAAAACATAAGGACAGCCAATGATTTTGAGTGAGTTTTTATTGAGATAACGAAGTCATCAGGTTCAACTTTGGCTGAAGCTGTAGGTTCTACTGTGGCTGAAGCTGTAGCTTTCTATAAAGCTGTTGCTGAAACTGTTACTGAACCTGAAGTTGTTGTTGAAGCTACTTATGATGCTGAATTTGATGGTGTAGCTGAAATTGATGGTTTAGGCCTTCAAATAATAATGCTGTCGAAAAAACCTTGCACAGCTTCTTTCTTTTCTAATTTTACATATTTATGTAGAGGTCATTTGCATTTTTCATGCCCGTTAATTTTAATGCTTTGTTCTGTTAATGGATCCACTTCAGAAAATATGTTCATTGTTTGCTCCATATAATAACCACAGACCTCTCACCTTTTTCATATCGTTTAAACACATCTAATTTCTCAGCTAAGCTTATACACTTTCTATTAGCTTTTGAAACAGCACTACCATCACTTACTCTCTTGCTCATGTTGAATAGGGACACAAAAATGCCGTAAGAAACCCATGAAAATTTTTTTCTTTTCTTGTTCAGATGCCTGAAAACAAAAGGCCCGCCAGCTGTAACTGTTTATACTAGTGATTTTATCCTCTCCGCCACTGATCGTCCTGTTAGCCGCTTGGGCTATCAGTCACGTCTCTGATTACTTTTCCTTTTCATTTATCTTCTTCACCAAAAGATCGGCTCGCTAGCCTCCCAGGCGATCGGTCACGTCTCTGTCATGCACTGTTGGCAAATACTGGGCATGCACCGGCTCCTGAATGTACCTGAACCCGCTCCGGTGTTGGTCAAGTCTTGTCTTGAAAGAGTTCACATTCAGTGCAGTCACAACACTCTCTGGTAGATTGTTCCAAGAGTTTACAACCCTCACTCCAAAAACGTTTGCCCTCACGGTTTTCTGGACTTGCGGCTTCTTCAATCTTGAGCCGTGACCCCTTGTGGGGGCGAGCGTCCGCCAGCTCCAAGTAAGGACACTCAACT